ACTGTTAAAGGTGGACATTATTTATTTATCCTCATTAGTTTAATTTTTTTCGCTAGCGACACTAATTCATCAGAAGAATTTTTCCGTGCTTTTTTAAAATTCTGTTTTTGTTTAGATTGGTTTTCATTAAAAACTTTCATTTCATATTCATTTTCATTTAAAACCACCATTTTTTTTTTACATTTTTTTTTTCTACAAATTATAGTCGATAATTTTCTTAATTTACATTTTTTTATTACATCATTAGGTAAAAATGAAATTTTTAATCCAAGGCTAATTTTTTTCTCCAAGCATAGCTTGCAACATGAATGGGAGTTGTTTGATATTAGGCATAGTATGCACTATTTTTGGTGAATTAACAAAATCTTAATCCTTCACTCCACTCTCTAGTCTTCTTTTCTTCCGTCCAGACATAAATGATTTTTTGATGTCCTGGTTAGCTCACTCAACACCCCCTTGGCTTTGCGAGTGATGTGGTTTCCCGTATACTATTTTAAGCCGTCCCTTATCAAAACTAAATAATTTATATAATTTTTTAAAAATTCTCTAGCATTGTCGGATTGTAGTATGCACGGAGCTCCAAATACATAAAAATATCTATAAGATTGTATTGCAACCTTGCTTGCAGTTTTGGTTTTTAACGGTCGTAAAGAAATAAACTTAATAAAATGATCTCGGTAAACTATGATAATTAATTAAAATCACCATTTTTATTACTTTGGACATCTATCAGATTAACTTGTGCACAAGAATTAAAAATTTTAGATTAAATTGGCTTTATTACCAAACCTTTTTCGGGATGAGCGTGTTTTTTAATACATATTTCACATAGCTGTAAATACAGCAAAATTATATCTCTGGTAATATTTTTATATTTTTGTTTTATTGAATGTTCCATTGGGTCTCGACCACCATGACCACAATTTATATGAACCATGTGCGATATTTCGAACATTTCATTGCGTATTACAAAATATTTAATATCACCATTGGTTTTATTTGGTGAAAATATTAATTATTTAGACTCATCGATTGTGAGTACATCACATATATTTAATCGTCTGTATTCGCTGGTTGTTTTCTTTAAACCGATCTTCGTTTGTTCTACCTTTTTCATGAGTTCATTGTAACTTGTATCACTAATTAAAGTATAGCATTGAGTTTTTTTCAAATTTAATTTTAAAATCGGACACACACATTTTGTTAGCTTTTTCTAATGACGTACTAATTTAAGTTCAGAGTAAAATACGAACTACAATACAATATTGTATAATATGATATAATGAGTTGATAAAATATAATATAACTAGCTATACGTGTGGTCTATATATTCGTAATAAGGTCGTATGATAAATGTCACTATTTGTATTTAATATTATCGTGGCTATTTAAGATGGTTTTGGCCAAATGAGGCTGGTCACAACTAGATTTGCCTGGGCAAAATCCGAAATATGCCATTTTCCCAAATATTGTGGGCCGTTAGCATTTTGCCCGAGCATTTCTGAGGTTTACCCGATTTTGACTTTTGCCCGTAAATTGATAACTAATCATTGTAACATTTGGAAGTCAACCACCATATGCGTGGTAGTTAATATGTATATTAATTATGGTTATAATTTTTTATCATTATAAAATATAATTTTAAAACACGTGTATTGTGTAAAAAAATTATACATAATATATTAAATAAATGTATAAATCATAGAAAATAAATTAAATAGTATAACCAGGTATAAACAATAAATAATCACCAATAGTATCATATTTTTACTTAGTAGTTTTTAACATTTATCTACAATAAATACACATTGGTAGCAGAATGCATAAGAAAAATGATTGGAAATGTTATGTTTCGACCACCCAAAATACGATTTGTGTTCATTTTGCTCTCGGTAAAGTTATCTAAGTTGAACATAGGTCCAAGATTTTGGATCGAAAAAAAAGATACCAGATCCAAAGTTATAATTAAGTCCTTACCATAATTATTATACCTTAGATTGTCATCATTATACTAAACTTGTCTATGATACTATACGGTATACACTGGTATAATAATGATCTAAGGATTATCTAAGCAATTACAATATGATAATGCGATAGCAAAAAAAAATAAATAAAAAATTTCAACTACCACACATGTGACTTACGGATTCTTAATAATAACGCGTCAAGTAAAACGATGCGGTTATCAGGTATTATCGTGCACGTCTACGGTGGGCAAAACTGTAACTAGGGTGAGGCAAACGAGGCACTTGCCTTGGGGAGCTGAAACTGGGAGGTACAAAAATATTAAATAATTAACTTATTTTGAGAAATGTTATTTCTTGTTTTGCTAGAAACCTAATTATAATTTTTAGGATTTTTCCGAATCGTATTATACACATTAAAGGCCGTGAGCGTGACAATCTTACAACCTAGGGGACGCATTGTTTCAGTTTTGCCTTAGGAAAATAAATTACTTTGTACGGCTCTGACAGTGGGGCCCATCGATTTCTTACTGATCTATAATTCAACCGCGATGACGGTGAAGCGTGGTTACCTTCGGCGAGGTTTATAGCGCGGGTACGTGGAAGAGCGGTGCACGCGTGGACGGGGTACTAGACTCGCACGTTATTAATTGGCCGACGCTTAAGCTACACGTACGCTTACAGGCCATAAGTCGAACGCTCATCATAATATACACACAAAAAGGCTTCTTATCGTTTTAATTAAAAACGATTTCGCGTTGTCCCGTAATGATCGAACGCCGCGTTGTTTTCGTCGATTTTTACTTTTTTCGTTATTTTTTTCTCCTGCGATATCCCACCTCGGTAAGACCCGCACCAACCGGACTGCAACACCTAAACAAATACAATTTATCACGCTCGTGTGCGGCCGATTGTTTGGTTTTTTGATATTTGTCCAATGAAAACCGGGACACGTTATTGCTTATACGGTCACAACAACAATATTGCAACAACGATAATTACAACGACGGTGATAATAATAAAAGCAATGCTGGAAGGAGTGCGATCGAAACGAGTCCAACTAGGGACTAAAGGAATATTCCACGACGGTTACGGGGTTCGTCCGATTTCAAAGCCACAGCAAATCATGTGAGCCATGACCGAATCAGATTCTCCACTCGAGACAGTGTCGCGTATCAGATCATAGGGTGCGGTGGTTACTTATGTACTTAAAACATAGAAATCGAACGGTAATCCGACTTTTTATTTGTTTAAACCGCTCCCAATGGTTTTCAAGTTAGCGACTCTGAGACATATCTCATATGGAAGCAGCGAACAAAGATTATAGTGAAATGCAGGAGGTGTTTTTAAACCTTTCAACGATTTCTAAAGAACTTATATTTTTTGGTTTCTTTCTATAGTCCTGAGTAGTGTGTAAGTTAAAAATATTTCCAATAATCAAAATAAAACCGTACAAACTCGATTATTATAACAATATGACCCAATGTGTAATTAATTTTGTTAATTTTGTACAAATAACTATGTACCAATTATATAGCAACAATTTATTGAAAGGGGCGGCATTTTATTATTTGCACGGGGCGAAAAAATACTTAGCACCGAGCTTGGTTATTGGATAGCCTCTCTCTTCGTTCTATTTATCATTTAAATATTCTATAAATCATATTATCCTAAATTTTCTATTTTAATATATATATATATATATATATATATAAATTCTCAAAATATGCTCCTAAAAATGCTGTAATATGTAACAAAATATGCACTTATAACTATTTTTCCTTCTCCTTCACCCTTTCCCCAACTATTTGGGATCGGCCACTTTTGTCCTAAACCTCCACTCGTCTCAATTTTCTATATCTATCCCCTACGCACACAACAACGGCCCTCATGTAATTCTCAATCTTATCTAACCATCTTTTATTTGGTCTTTTTCTTCCTCTTTTAAAAATGCACTTAAAATTAAATTGAAAATATTTTATTTTAAATCATGCGATCGTCCATAATTTTCAAAACGCAGACAGGAGTTAGAAGTTAAAAAAAAACTACACAAAAGTCAATTCTAAATGAATCCAACATTAGATTAAAAAAAAAAAAAAACACTAAATATTCACCTGATTTAAATATTACCAACAATTATACTTGTAAATGTTGATCCTGAATTAAAGAAAAAAATTGAACTGCCCCCCCCCTAGAAGTAAGTCTAAAATCGCTCTTGCTAGTATGTTATTTTATTTTTGATGATGACGACCGGTTTTCATTTTATCTAATTCTTGTGGCTATGAACGTGAATATTTCAAGTAAAATAAATGTATGTGCCATAAATATATATATACTCTATTAAACTACAAATACACATGAAATATGCAAAATAAGGTAAAAATATTGAAATATGCAAAATGTACAAATTATAATTTTTTTAAAAATGATCTAAATCGGGGAAGATTCTCATCAAAGAAACTTAATCCAATATCGTTAATTAATATCGTTAATCCATATGCGTTTGCATGTGAATCCGTTGTTCCCTAATCATAAATATTGTCGAGTGCGTGTTACAACGTAAAAGTTATTGCGATATAAAAAACAAGGACAAGGAATTACAACGATAGAAAAGATTAACCGAGTTGATCGAGGGGATCGGAGAGAGTTCAACGGAAGTAGTCGGCGGAACTAACCTGCGAATAGGCGAATCACCCGCGCAGAGTGGTGCTGTACATCCCGAGAGATGCTCTTTTCGGAGAATCCATCATCCGAATCGAGTACGCGCGTGAACATACGAACGTGGACGGGACACGACGTGCACCGACGACAATCGCGTTGCACAATTACCGCGGGCCGTCGGGTCCGTCGGAACATTGACCGGTTAGATTTTCGCGCGATTTTTTTTTTTTTTTATTTCAATAATTCTTTCACATTTTCCCGCGCTGTCCGCGTGGCGCGTCCAACTCGCGGATAATACGGCGGCGCGCCCTTCCGCCCGACACCACCCCCGACGCACACGGGCGCGCGCCCGTCCGTCAGATACGGCCGCGGCCGCATTCCGCGTGACGACTCGTTGCACGGTACACGTGTGCGCGTACATACCCGTTCGTGACGTGTTCGCCGCGCGCCCAACCGCACGCCACGTGTCCCGGCCCACACGCACGTCGACCGAGGACTTCGCGAGTGACCGGCAGCCCAACCGGGACGGTTTTCGCAGCGTCGCCGAAAGAGGAGGAGACAAGCCGCAGCAAGCGTGAGTACCTATTGTCGCGTTACGCGCGCCACCTCAGGTTGTCGATCCGGATGACTGATCCCGTACAAGCGCAACTTCAGTGACTAACCGATGAGAGGGGGGCATTTTAAGTATTAACTGAAAATAGTTGTTTCCCCGAATCAGCACTGAGATACAAAGTCCAACTTCGTTCCTATATTATGATACATACCTCATATTACTGTCAGAATATGGTTTTTTAGGCAAAATTATATTGTTAGGTAGATATCTAATTAAATAATTGGGATCTTACGGTTCACGAAGACATAAATGTATTAAACAATTTAAATGTTTGAAAATCCTGAGAAGTGGCCATGACCCCAGTGCCTCCTCTCTCCCTAGGAGCCACACCTGACCGATCCGATGGGTTTCGACGTTCCTCGTCGAATTCGAATCCGATTACCGATCGGACGCCTTATCAATCGAATTATCAGTCAACCGGATCGGATGGTGTGCGTTAGATGAATTTTTTATCGTAATTATTTTCATATACCATCGTCGTCCCAACTTCGGTTTTCTCCGGTTGCATCTCGCGTTTCTTTTTCGATCGGTGTTTCTTGACTTCCAATCAGACCCGCAGAATCGGATGAAATCGAGGTTGTCAAGGAACACGCGTGGAACGTGTATTCAGGGCCGTTCTGAGAGGGGAGCAACGGGACCATTTTGTCCCAAGCCCCATTGTTGGGATATTTTCTAGGGGCCCTCACAAAGTCTTGATATATAGTAATTAATAATAAAGCCTCGAATACACTGAGCAATTTTACACGCTGCGTGTCAACGATTATAGTCGCGCTCGTGCGAGCATGTAGTGACTTCTCTGATTACATTGAGCGGTTAAATTATAAATAATATGAGTAATAATACTATGGTCGAAGAGCCTCCAAATTAATTTTCCCCTGGCCCCGAAAAATTTTGGGACGGCCCTGCGTGTATTGTCCACGGGAGAGGGACCACAATCGTCGAGAATTGGAATTTTGACGTTTTTTTTTTCGACGAGTCGTTTTTCAGTTCGCTTCGTAGCGTATCGTAAGCGTAAAATTATGATTATAAAACGGTCACAATCATTTCGTACGAATGCGCTGAAGTACGTTCCGTATGTGAAACGTGTAATTTATGAATTAGTTTTTTATTTTCAAAACGTTTACAAAACAATTGGCGAGGATGGTTTTGTGCACGTTCTCCTTAGTCCCTTTATATTTATATTGATATGCCAACGATCTCACAACAACCAATACGGTCTTTAATAAATATTCTGATTAAACGTTAACTTTTCAAAAGGGTGACGTTGAAATACTGCGGGACGGATGAAAATTTTATCAAGTACAGAAAAACACACAACATCCGGTGGTTATTCGGAAATTATTGCACCGGAATTGAGCGGAGACGAGTTTGCGTTTCATTCGCTTTCCGTACACTTCCGGTTATCCGTAAATGCGCCGTAACTGTCTGGTACTAAGTGTAGACGTAGTGACGATCTATAACCGTTTTTAACACAATATTTTTAAGAAATATAAATGCGAATTTAAAAGAAGGAAGAAAAAAGTTTAATTCATTACTTTTTGTTTTTTTTTTTTTGTAAATTATTGCCACACACACACATCATTCACACATATTATATCATATGTTTTTATTAAATGCATATGTGAACTACATACTTGTTGGTCTACAATATTACAAGCCTTCGTGTGTTATCAAGTCGAATTTGCTTATTATTTCGGTTTCGCTGTCATTTAAAAACTGCAACACAACATTATTATTTGAAATATGTTATCCTTCGATATCGAGACCATAGAAGTGTTTATATATATATATATATACATATTTTTTATGCGCTGCCTCAAATCACACGTTTTCTAAACTATTATATTGCGAAAAAAATATATATCGCATATTTTTTTTAATATATGCACGTGTTTATAAGATTTAAATTTAATCATGTTTCCGCGTGAAATGTAAAAAAAAAATATGTTATAAATATTGTACACCTGTCAGACAGGATAAAACACATAATTTGTATTATTTTCATCTTGTTTTTACAACCGTGCGTCCCGAAAACCGTGTACGGTGCGTAATCCTTAAACGAAAACGATTATATTAAACATTTAAATAATTTTGTTTTTTTTTCTTTTCTTCTTTTTCTATCGAGTTTCATCCTTTTTTTGTTACGATGATTTTCATGATATTTGTATAAACGAATAAATGTTCCTTTACTATTTTATACATTTCCGATAGCTTTACTCGTCCTCGCAAATAATAAATAACCGAAAACAACAATAAAGCCCACCACTTTAACAGATTTAATTAATTAATTTTTAAAATAATACAACTCAAACAATATAACATACATACATGTATTTATAACGATACGCGGTTTGTTATAGTTGTATAAAATATCTATATCTCGTATTTATCATACGTGTACTAAGTACATTGTACTATATTCACTTATTGGACTAGTATGATATAATCATTGATATCATGGTTATTATTAAAAATATAATTTCGTTGAAATGTGTACTATACATTGATTTGTACAAATTTATCTGTGGTGTTAGGACCACGTCCTTTCGTGTACTCGTGCTCATGAATCATAACATGAAAATCAATATTGCTTTTTTGAAAACTTTTTATTTTAAAGTTATTTATTCACTTTTTATAGTATTTTATAGTTTTTAGAGAATTTTTAGAATGTTTAGAATCCAAATTAGAATTAGAAATTTGATTTTAAAATAGTTATTCGTGAACTTTGAATAAGATAAATAACAAATTATAAGTAAGTACTTGTATTAAATTATCGGGTAATAGTACCTAATGTTAAAATCTAAACAATTTTTTAATTTTTTTTTTTTTTTTGTTAATACTATAAAATAACCAAGAAACCAAAATAATTTTAAAAAATATTGAAAATGCATTATTTAGAATTTTGAGAAAGTGAGACATTACCAAACCAATCTTAGTTATTATTGTTATTAATAATTTTTAAATAATATAAATTATCATTCAGTTAAAATAACTAAAATACTATGTTATTCTATTTTATAATTAAGTAATTATACAATGATTATAAATGATAATATATTTTCAATTCACTTAAAAGTGCATATTTAAAAATAAATGCACATTTTTTAGCATATTACAGAATTTTTAAGAGCATATTTTGAGAATTTTTTTTTATATATAAATCCGTTCCCTAGTTATTATTATTATTATTATTATTTATAACTTTTTTTTAAGCTTATATATAGATATGAAGATATTTCAACATTACACTATATTTTATATAATTGTATGAGTATTGTTCAACCGATTTAATATTATGTAAATTTTTCATACAGATAAAGAGTAGTTTTTAAATTAAATTAAACGACACCAAATCATTTTGAACTGGTGGTTTTTATTTTTCAAACGGTCATCTAATAGCTTTGTTGAATGGTCCATCAGATAAAATATGACCATTGTTAAGTATAAAGGAGAATATATATTTTTTGTTTTAAAATCTCCTCTTGTGCGGTCTAAAATGAAAATGTGGCCAGGCGATCGTTCTTTTTGTTTGATTCGAAATATTTCAAACAATATATAATACGAGTATAATATTTTATAGTTATTCGTCTTTGGATGGTTTAAAATATCACGAGTTAAATTCCAAACAACAAGCGTTCAAATAATGAATGATAAATTTAGATCCCAACGCGTTTTAAATTCCCGACCGTTTTTTACCGCATTAATTAAACGTTTACATTTTCTAAGATGTAAAATAAAAATAGCTATTCCGGCGAGATTCAACAATAAACGAGATTTTTCTCTCCCAGTTTTCACTAACCAGATGCTATTTAATACGCATGTTTAATTTGAAATCGCTTACATTTTACATAATACATCATATATTTCAAAAGTCATTATTTTTGAACGCACAATTTGTCGACATAATATTAACATTAATCGGGACGGATGGAAATAACTGATGATTAAAAGTAACGAATATTGAAATTGTATAATATAATTCTCTAAATAGATAATTATTTACCTTTCAACATCGTTTACACGTTACGTACGCAGAAACAGTATTGGCATTCCATTTCACCCGTAATAATCATACACGGGTTTTAAATCAACGGGATATTACATACCAATTTTAGTACATGCATTCACAGGGAGGTTGCGTAAAACTTCCGAACACGACGCATGCATTGTGGCACACCGATCGTTCTTCGAAAACAATTGTCCTCGTTTAGCTATTATTACTAACCGTGCCGAGAAACCTGATCTACTGGCACCTGTAGTTTCGTAGTTCATGGTTACCGGCTCGGTCACAGATATTCTCATGGGATGGTCTGAAACGCGGTTTGTGGTGTTTTCCGGATGAACTCCCGACACTGCCACTGCTCCCGCGGTCGGATAATTTAGGATGCATCAAAAACCTATGCGAACTTTGCAGCAGAATATTGCACTGGATTAGTTTCCGGCAAAACGGAGAGAATGTGAAACGAATCTCTCGCTGAAGTAGAAAAAATGTAACATTTTTTGTTTTTCGATGAAAAAACAATCTGCATAATAACATACCGGTTATTGGTCTTGAAGAATAATGATGTCTTAAAATTGTTTAATGTCAATCGAGACGATGATGCCCGTTTGTAACAAACGTTGCCGAAACGGAAACGTTCTTCGTCCGACGTATCACAAGCATCGTCGGCAAAATCGCAGTTTATGTGGTAGGTTATGTTTTCCATCATTTATCTACCGAATGCTGCAGTATCCGGTAAGATCTGGATTTCGGGGGCGTTGAAAAGGGCCGTGCATAATGTCACCGGTCGATTCCATGAACGAATACGTACAAATAAAGGATGACTAGTCATTTCAGGAACTTTAATTCTAAGAAACGACATCGTTAACCTTTTCTTAAACGGCATGAAATAATGATTCTGTTTTCAATTATGTACTGATGTTAACACATTTTGTTTACTCCCGTAAGAATCGTATCAACA